CATTCCTGTAATTCCAATACTTTGGGAGGCTGAGCCAGGAAGACTGCTTGAGGCCAGGAATTTGAGACCAAGCTGGGCAAACACAGCGAGACACCTATTTCTAAAAAAAAATTAAAAGTTAGCTAGACATGGTGGTGCACACCCATAGTCTTAGCTACTCTGGAGGCTGAACAGGAGGATCGTTTGAGCCCAGGAGTTTGAGATTACAGTGAGCTATGATCACATCACTGCACTCCAGCCTGGGTGACTTTGAGATCTTGTCTCTAAAAAAATTAAAAAATTAAAAATAGGCCAGTGCAGTGGCTCAAGCCTGAAATCCCAGCACTTTGGGAGGCCGAGGCAAGAGGATTGCCCGCGGGTTTGGGACCAGCCTGGACAACATGATAAGACCTTGTCTCTACAATAAATCAAAAAATTAGCCAGGCGTGGTAGCGTGCACCTGTAGTTCCAGTTACTTGGAAGGCTGAGGCAGAAGGATGGCCTGAGTCCAGCAGTTCAATGCTGGAGTGGCCCTAAGTGTGCCACTGCACTCCAGCCTGGGCAACAGAGCAGCCTGGGCAACAGAATGAGCCTCTAACTGAAAAAAAATGTTTTTAATTAAAAAAAAATGAAAATAAACAAACAGTATTGATTTTTATTATTTCACATTGTATTTATCACTGTCCTAGTAGAATAGTGTACAATATTTCAAGTAGACTTTGGGGCTAGACTGGGAATCTACAAACCATTTAACTATTTACACTACCAAAATATGGAAATTTCAAAGACTGATATTAAAAATGACTTCTCCCACAGAAATAAAAATGGAATGTTGTTTTATATGTTGGTGGATGACTATACTACATGACAGTTAACTTGTTTTTACCTTAGGTTTTTTTTTTTCTATTTTATTCCATCTTAAACATAACTATTTTTTTAAAAATCTAATGATAATTTTCAACATGCAATTCCCACTTTTAAAAATCTGAAGTGTTCCTTATTTCCAACCACATCATCAAAATAAGGTTTCATGTTCATATTGCTAAAGCAGACTTCTTTCCTAAACTGAAATTTTTAAAACCAGCTATGTATAATGATTCACTTTTCTAATTTTATTGCTCATTAATTTCCCCCCTAAAGGTCTCACGAGCCCTCATACTGGGTAGACCTGAAGGTTCCATACAGGATATAAAGGCAATTAACTAAAATCCATTGTCCTAGCTCTCCAGAATGCTCACAACTGGAGTTTTTTTCCCCTTCTTTTTTAAAGCACAGCTCGATTATTTTAAAACTTGATAGCCGCATATACTATGCTGTCTTATAATGAATAAGATCTATACTGTCTGGGCCATATACTCCCCTAAGATATCCTGTGAGGAGCACATTCTCTATAAAGCCCCTATAGCCTGACCCAAAACTTAGAAGTTCTAAGTTCTTACTAGTTCTCTCTTCTCTGATCTACCACCCTTACTTTCAGAAACAGCTGATTATATATTATTCTCTATCAAAGCTTTTTTAACTGCTGAGAATAGGTTATAAGTATCCTGCCGATATTGATCACCTCAGCCTTCCAGGTAGTCGCAGAGTCTAGAATGAGTGGACCAACTACCTCAGTTGTGAACAACTCATCAGTTTACTGTGCTGTGCAGATATTTTAATTTTCTATGTGTGTCATGCTGCTTTTTAAAGAATAAATTTTGACTGAGCGCGGTAGCTCAAGCCTATAATCCCAGCACTTTGGGAGGCCAAGGTGAGAGGATTACCTGAGTCCAGGGGTTCAAGACCAACCTTGGCAACTTGGCGAGACATCATCTCTACAATAAATAAAAAAAAAATTAGCCAGGCATGGTGGCATGCACCTGTAGTTCCAGCAACTTGGAAGGCTGAGCCGGAAGGATTGCCTGAGCCCAGCAGGTCAAGGCTACAGTGGCTGTGAGTGTGCCACTGCACTACAGCCTGGGCAACAGAGTGAGACTCGATTCAATCAAGCAATCAATTTTACTTTCCTATGTGTGCTATGTTTTTTTAAAAAATAAATTTAAGGTGGGCAAGGCATTCCAAATGATTATTAAAATCCAAGATTCTGCCCCAGACTGCTTCACAAGTTTCACTAGGTTATCACTCCAACTTATAAAAATTAAAAGAAGAAATTATAGTCTATGGCACAAAAGTCTAATCAGTAGATTCATATTTATATACAAATTGTTAAGGCCTTGGTTTTAAGTTAAAATAAAATATTCAAAGTATACATCTATCATTTTTGTAATCTACTTTAAATGACTTTTTGATTGACAGACAAACTATTTGGTCCCAATTATGTTGGCTAAAAAGGTAAATATAGTACTTAGGTTCTAGCAATGTGTTGTTCACAGGAGAATATAATCTAGACTTTTAAGAAGCAAGTCAAAATCTAGTGCCCCCCCAGACATGTCAAATCTGATAAATTTGAACTGATGTTATTGCACTCTGATTTTGCACATGAACAACATGATTTCTCCCAGGCTGGTGGTTTTAAATAAAAACTATTAAAACTACAAGAAGTCTGTTCCTCGGCAGTTGCAATTAAACAAACAGCAAATTTTGTTTGTGTGAATAACTATTCTGCTAATTCTGAAGAGTTCTACCAGATCACATATGTCCAGGAAAAATTCAGACCAATCCTTAGAAATAAGCTTCTCTTAAAAAAATAAATACTATGAATCTTTTCATGTCATTTGTGAAATGCAAATTTAAAAACTCAATGCAATACAACTACATATATTAGTGACTAAATTTAAAAACAATGACAATACCAAATGTTGGTGAGGATGGGAAGGAGCTGAAATTTTCATACACAGCTGGTAAGAATACAAAACGATACAACCGGCTTATAAGTAAACAAACATGACCAGTTAACTCAGAAAAATGAAAACACACGTCCACACAAAGACCTACATCTAAAAGGTTCGTGGCAGTTTAATTCCTAATAGACAGAAAATGAAAACAACCCAAATGTCTATCGACTGATGAGTGGATAAACAAACAGGCACACAATAAAACACCAGGCAGCAATGTGAGGGAACCAGCTATCAACACACACCACATAATTTAATCTCAAAGGCATTATGCTAAATCAAAGCAGTCAAACACAAAAGACTACATCCGATCTCACTTTTAAGGAAATTCCAGAAAAGACAGACGATAGTGACAGCAGATCACCAGCTAACAGAGGCCAAGGGTTGGGGGTAAGAGAAGACGAACTACAGCAGAGGGACATGAGAACCCATTTTTGGAGGATGATGGAAATGTTTTATATCATGACTATGTTATTACCTGACATTTTTCAAAACTAATCACACTTAAACCTGGTGAATTTTATTGTCAGTAAAGCTGACAAAGAGCATTAAAGAAACAATTTTACAGAAAGAAAAAAAAGTTTTCACTTTGCTCTCTTTCTGTGAAAGTTTTCCATGCTTTACTTATACTTTTTCTTTTAGCATAAAAGCCCATAATCCCAGAATCACTGATAATAAATTTCTTAGTGTTCTCTGGTAAAGACTAAAAACTAAGACAAGTTATATATAGCTGCATTGTCAGTTTTTATTGCCAACTTAGGTTGGGTAATCAATGACCAAATGTTCTATTTATTTCAAAGATAATTACTATATACAAAAAATATATTACTTTTCCTCACTTAAACTTTACAAATTTTAATTTACATCATTATTTTGACAGGTTTAATTAAATTGATTTCCTGTCCATTATCTGTTTGTTTTTAATATCACACTTCGGTAGAAGATATTTAAGGTACTAGATTCAGTATTTAGATTTCCAGGTAAATTAATATCCAATAAAATAAACTTAATTGTGCCAGAAGCAGATATAGAATGAAAGTGATCAACTGTCATAAAAGCCTTAGGGAATACATAAAAGTAATGCTCGAAGACCGCTAAATGGTGACTTAAAGGACAGACTTGGCCCACAAATATGATCAGTTTGGCTAGCATAATTTGTTTAAAAAAAAAAAAAAATCAAAAGAATTCTCACCTAGATTTCCAGTTTCTCTTGAAAAAATCAAAAGCTCTGGCAAGACTGGGCCCACAGTACTAAATTAAACCAATAGCTAAAGCTAAGAAGACACTGTCCTGTAGAGAAAGCAGGAACTCTTCAGTTTGTCCAGGCTCCATAACACTTAATTAAGTTCACTCACTGTCACTACCTGCACGGCTATGGCTATACATACAGTTTTCTTTCTTTTTTTTTCTTTTTTTCTTTTTTGGAAAGCAGGATTTATTGAGAGGACAGAAAAGCTCCCACAGTAGGAGGGGACCCTAAGGGACTGCCCACATGCAGTTTTCAAATCTGAGTTTTCAAACCCTACCAGGGCTATTTCTTCCATGTGCTTCAACCAGCCATAACTGAGAGTTATATGGAAGAAGTTTTCCCTAGATTTGTTATAATTAATTTTGAGTAGATCCAAAAAAAAATCTGTATATTAACAGTAAATTACAATATGCACGTGCTCTACTGTGGAATGCACAATGTATAATGAATGCTGATGATGTACTACAAAGTGTATGAAAATTATATGCAATTTAGTATATTTCATGTTAAACATAAACAAACTCAGATTCTAGAACTTTATTCACTATATTCATTAATGTAAGAAAGTCATTTCCATGTGCAAAATCAAAACAACAAGAAACAAAGCATCATTCTTCCTCTACCATAAAACTGACCTCCTTAAATACACACAAAGAACAAATGAAGTATACTTAAGGTTTTAACAAAATGGTAAAATACACAACATACAGCAATATGTTAAGGAAGGGAACAGGAATATAATTCCAAATATTTATTCATTAGCTAGAAGTATTATTTACCCCATTTAATGAAAAGCAAAAACAAAAAACAAAAAAAACTCTTACCACAACTTTGAGCAACTTGCTGAAGTATCTCTTATACAGTTATCAAAGGGAAGTCTAAAGAGCCCTAAATACAAAGAACAATAAGTTAACAGAAAAAGAAAATCTAAGACTTACCCGCTCTGTAGTTCCCTCGTCTCCTGGTAAACATGCAGCAGCAGCAGCACAAGCTATTTCCATCATAGCAGAGCTGGTAGGGGCATCAGTTGTGGATGAAGACCTGGGTCGGCCTGTCTGCATAACAGCTGTCATCTCCTGACCAGATTTCCTGTTGATTTGGGGACTTCCCTTTGGGGCCTCTGGCTTGCCCCGCCTACTATGTAAGCTTGTCCCTCTTTTCATCTTGGGTGGCACTCGAATCTGCTGCAGGACACGATTCAGAGCTGTGGGGTGGGTGGGAACACCATCAATCTCAGCACATGTGTTCTGGCTTTCCAGATCCACTTCAGGTTCTAGATCTGTCTGAATTTGCTGCACATCGTGTGGAGACACTGATGACCTCCTGCGCTGGTGCTGGAAGAGATGCTTCAAGCCTTGGCCAATCACATTAATGTTCTCCAAAGCATTGTGGGTCATTTTAGACAACTTTTGTTCTGATTCTGTCTGCTTTCTGGCCTCTGCATCTTGAGATTTGCCTCCAGGATCAGGGTCCTCATATAATTGTTCACTGCCTGAAGGCTCCATCAGTAGAATTAATATGCTTATTTGCAAACTCAAAAATTTTTAAGCACACCGAGCGTCAAATTAGGTAGGCATTTGCTTCAACAGTGACTACGCATGCAGCTGTGAGACGAAGGCTTCATGCCTATCTAATGTTAAAACAAAACAAAACAAAACCTTATATTATAAATCCATGCAGAAACTCTAGTGTTAAAACAAAGAAAAGCATGCCACTAGCCAAACAAATAGGCACTATCATTAAGCAATCTTTAATCAGAAGATTAAAAGACAGTTTTCTAGATAGTGGATAATGATTATTTTCTAGAATAGGAGACAAAGCCCAGACCAAATACATAGGAGATAAAAACAGCAATGTTTAAAAACAAAAATTCCTGTAAGATTCAATATATGAAGAATTGGATACTAAAGGAGCCATCTTGGAATGGACACCATAATAGTAGTTTACAGAACAGTCACTGCTTGGGAAATCAAGAAAACAGACAATACAGTACATTCAGTCTAGCTAAGGCCATTTAATTCCTCTCATTTGTAATCACAGTTAATTATCCACATGTTGAAATTCAGTAAATTGAAAGAATAATCGTGAGAAGTGGATATCCCAATCTAACTATATGTGGATTTCAATAAAAAACATGGATTTTAAGTTACCATTCATATTCATCACGTTCACTGGTAACTAGAGATGACAGGTTTACTCTTTTGAGAAGAGAATGGAAAAAAAATTCTTGTAAATTAAATTAACTGCAGGAGCACAAATGACCTTTCTGGCACCATATGAGTGAATGGCGCAGACAGCATCAGTCTTCAGAAACCACAGCTTTGCTCAGTACCAACTATCAAGAAAGGAGATTCAGAGAAATCTCTTTCTCTATAGTGTCATCCTTGACAGAAGCTTCCCATATATCCACACAAACTCAAACTCAAAAGCAAAGTAACACAGTAACTGTGTATGTACAAGAGTAGAGGAAAAGAAAGGTCAAATAGCAACCATACAATAGTATTAATGCAGAAAACTAAAAAAAAGCTGAAACTAAGAGATGTAAAGTCAGCACAAGTGCCACAGTTACTGAGATCACATGCAGGGGGGTGGGAGGGAAGGGGAGAGGTTGGAGGAGGATGAGATTTTTTCCTAATAGAAAATGTTTATTTTTATACTTGTGTATGTACAAACATTTAAGACAAAATTATACAAATGCACAGAAGCTGCTAGAGAAGACAAAATATGATGTAGGAGGTGCTTTATTTTCATATTTTTCCTTAACTTTTTGTTTAAAAAACTTTAAACTCCCTGCATCACCAAGTACTTTCAATGATCTAAGCCATACCAACTAAGCACTACAGTGTCTGTTTCTGGGAATATGTGGACTTGCTGCCACCCAAGTGGCAATCTAGAGAGCCATAAATTAGCTGGATGAAAGAGTTCACTGTGAACTCAAGTCTACTAGAATTTAGAGAAACAAGAATTCAAAAAAAGTTTTCTTCCTGATGACTTACTCTCAGAAAATCTTCTTACCATATTATGTGGTCACCATCATTGAGGCTCCACTGTCCATATTTTCTCATGTCTCTTTCTCCCATCTCCTAACCTCATGACTCAGGAGAATACACAGGGTGACAGGTTAAAGACTTTTGTCTCTCACCAGTACCTTCCTACTTTCTAAATACCACAAAATTATTTGTTCCTAAATTGGGCAAATAAATAGCAGCCATGAGAATGGACGTTTACATTGCCTTTTACCCAAATTCTTTGTGGTCCTACCAAAATCTTGCATTGCTTTTGGTCATCTCTTTTCCTTTGGGAGAACCAAGAAAGAAACCTTTGCCCTTATTAAATTAATGACTGTCTTGGCCTCTAGTGCAGTTTTCTGGGGCTTCTTGTAGGCAAAAATCTTGCCAATAGTGTGTATATTTAATTATCTTCACCTCTCCTCATGAGTTTGTCTGGCAGAATAATAGTGTTTGGAATTTTATTTCTAATCTTCAAAGAATTGAGCTCCTCAGAGAAAAAGTGCTATGTAACCAAAATAATCCAATAACATCAACTAATCTCTTCCTACACTGGACTAGTTAGATCCTGAGAAGATGGGAGGATGTGAAAGCAGCAGACTGACACTTGGGAAGTAGTTTATTTTTTCCCTATTTGCACTGTCTTAGCTAAATAACGCAACTTATGTTTTTGTTGTATTGGAAGTAAAATGTATAAAATAAGTTTATCTCATGAGATTCAAAGATAACACGAATAAATGAATAGTGTCAAGGTTAGCTGAGGAACCAAATCCAAAGGTATTAGCAAATATATTTCTCTGGGCAGTGTTATAAACTAATCAAATAGCCATCTGCTTCCATCCTTTTTTTTTTTTTTTAATTGGAGTCTCACTCTGTCGCCCAGACTGGGAGTGCAGTGGCCGCTCCTGGCCACTGCAGCCTCGACCTGCTGGACTCCAG